TCTTTCGTATCGTGGAATATAGACAACTGAAAACTAGTTTGCTAACGAATAAATATGCGCTAGTCACTTGATGCGCATACTGACACAAGCTCCTGTAAGAGACGGGCTGACTCTCTCATCAATCCGAGACCAACAGGAATTCTGTTCTTTCTGTAATATGAACTGCAAACGAAAATGCGTTCTGAACCACCTGCCAGAACAACGACGTCAAACTGCCCAACACTGAAGAATCTTTCTTTGCCCATCTATAGTTTGCTTCGTGAAGTACCCGCCCGATTTTATCCCAGGTAGGATTAAATTGCGTTACAGACACCCGAACGACTTCACATCACTGATGGATCAATGCCAGTCAGCCCTCAGATTATTGAGCCTTGATCCAGGTCCACCAATTTACATGATTGCTCTTCAATTGGCTGAGGACATAGACTGAGTGTCAAGAGTTACAATCTTGATATCGATTTTGATCCGTAGAGTGAGTGTGGAAATTGCGAAGCTCTAACCATACCCTTCTAGGTGCATTGTTTGTTTTCGTGTAATTAAGAGACGATTTGAAAGGTAAAAACGATAAGAGAATATTGATTGCCTTTTGTGGCAGTATTCTCACACATTGGTTGCATAATACCAACCTTCATGTTTCATCGTCCACCGGCCTACATTTCTTCCCTTACATGTACTATTATTTACTCAGTTATGCTTCTGCACTTCTGTTGAGTTCGTTTGTAAACTCTAGACGCCATAGGAAGGGCGTGACCTTCACCTTGTAAGAAATTTAGAACAGCAAATCGATTTAGGTGCACGACTGCCACAGGGGTAGTTCAAAATGTTCCAGGTGTGATTAGATTACCCGCGTCCAGGTAGAACCAGAAGAACGTCATGAACGAGAGATTCGGTCACAATTCAGTTGAATCTCCCGAGTAAACCGAATTGGCGTGTAAATAAGTGTTTACCTAAGGAACTGTAGTGTGATAAGCACACGGTGTCGCGTGAGACAAAGTAAGGCAGTTTTAACTAATCAAGTTGTCTAGATAAATCTCTTAAGAACTGGACACAAAATAAACTTTAAAAAACAACAATTATACGTAATATGTAAAGATCATATCAATTACAAACTTTAGCTGTTCTGAAGATAATGACAGAGCAGAGCGTAACTGGGTTCACACAGTCACTGTGTCCATTTAGTTTCTACAGCATTACAGCTTCAGTGAAATGCTGACTCAATCAACTTGTCATTTATGTCCGAGTTCATAATCGGATTCTGCCAAGTGATCGGTTGCGAACTGCTGTCGGAACCACACTGGAAGGATAATGAACACAACAATCTAAAGTACATCTCCAAAACTCGTAGTTAATGTGCTGTGGTCAATTAAGTAGTATCAGTTGGTGAGAAAAACTGACCGTTCTCACTGTGTTTCGCGGACGTTCCCTCATTGATCTAGATGACATCGTGAATACGCAGTAGAGTAGGAAAGCGTCGTGATTTAACTGTTGGTCGGTGTGTTAACACACGACCTGACTACTCCTGTACTCCCGTACTGATGACATCACCTCAATCGGATACGAAAACGTTGCAGTCAAAAAGTTACACTCAACAACGTAGAGTAAACAGCTTAACTCGCCGACATTCCCTTGCAGTATTTCAGCCCTTGTGTTTCCTTCGGAGTCTATTGAAGTTTTGCACCGACAGAGGGTTAGAAATGACTGTAGGTTGGCCGGAGTATGAACTGAGCATAAGAGTGATCACGTCATTCGTACATGATGGTTGAATTTCAGTGTGGATCATATAGCGAATCAACCTGATTGCCCGAACACATCAAAACGTTAGCTGAATGGACTTCTATCGGCCACTAATCTCTCGATCTATCGTTTCAAGATCGATTTTCGCACGCTTCGCTACAGTCAATTTTAATGGTCTGTTGGTGTAAACGATAGTATCTCTGGTCCGTTTCGTTCTGGATGAAAAAAACAAGTTACTTTGAGTTTCTCTTCCGCGACACATGAATCGTTGGTCATTTTATTGAATTCGGTCCCAAATTTTTTTGTCCAACCGGGCTTTGCTGGAGCGAACTGAACCAGCTCCAGGTTTACTAGCGCATCCTCCATCGGTTTATTGATCTGCCCTGCACAAAATGTCTTGTACGTCGCCCAAGAATGTTTATTTAGAAAAATGAGGGTGGACGCGGTCACGAGACACTGTAACCGTCAGCACCATCGTGTTGTCCTGTTGTTTACCACATTCGGAATGCGGTTTAACACGCGCTATGGCCGTAGGGATGAGCAGTAGATCGTGTGTTGTTTAGTCTGTAACTGTGTAGTGACGGAACTGCTTTGTCTGTACTTCTGGGAGAACTTTCTTTTTGATAAGAAAAATATAAACGCCGACTTCTGTTAGACCTCTCTTATGATGAGAAACAATAAGAGAGAGTACGATGCCCTCAACTAATGTTTTTATTTAACCTCGGGGCGTTAAAATGCCATCCCTTCTAGGTCCTATGCAAGAAAACCTGTTCAGGGATTGTTAGGTAAAATTACTATTCGAAAAGCCTAACACATTCATCTACGCACCAAGTTAGTTTTGGTACGAGACTCACCTGGAGCCCAGCTGAATATCAGGCTTATGATGATCCCCTGCGAGTGAATGTGCTGCACCAGGCCGCCCCACGTTTCACTTGTTACAATATTCGAGATATCGCAGTATATTTTCACAAAGGAAACTACTCACAAGGTCGCTGAAGAATCCTCTATAGACCACGACCGCTTTCGCACTTCTTCGGGCTCATCAAGTAGGCGCGTTCCAGAATCTTCCTTAAACTTTATGTTCTATCCGAACAGCACAAATGAGTGATTCAGCTGGGTTCAACGTGAGTCTTCCGTCAACCCAACAGATGAGTGTATAAACTGAATTTTGTGCAATTTGTGTTCAAGTAGAGCACATGGCTGACGGATACTTGGGGACTGGGTCCACCTGGTGAGGCTTAAGTCGAGGGGCCGAAACCTGCAACGTTGTAGGTGCTGAACAAACCCATATTTTCCTCGAGACTGATAAAAGATGTATGCCGAAATAAGTTAACAGTTTTTCTACTCTCTCCCACCGCGGACGTAAAACATGCAGGTTTTGGGCAGACATTGATGAGCTAATTCCCGCCTGTGTAACCAAATGGTCTGCTTCAACCGTTTTTTTATGCAGATAGTTGGGTTGGTTTGATTTGATGAGCAAAACTTAGCTTATCGCTAAAACCTTGGGGTTTGTGCTGCCCAATAGGATTCCGAAGAAGTCGGCCGGCCCAGTCAGATGACCAGTACCGAGCAGAAGTCCGTCTACTGACGGCACAGGACTGTGATTTGACGTTTTGACCTGACGGTTATGGATTGCATCCTTTGGGATTTGTTCTGCCACAGGTTTTTCTAAGTAGCTGTAAGCGACTCTGCAGCCTCAGCAGAACTCGTAGACCACGTGAGCGGTAGACAGACAGGCTCACACTTCTGTAGAGTAAATCCTCTGTTGACTAGCTTCAGTAAAACACTTTTAAACTCGGAAGTAAATCTGTGTCCCAAGTCGGGCTTAAAATGCAAGACTTTGAACTGAGGAAACACGTAGTATGTACCTTTCTTGCTGGCGCTTGAACTGTTTGTGTTCCGGCTTATCTGTGACTTTCATTGAAACGCTCTCGATAATCCTACTGCAGCAGCGTTTCCGTCAGGAATTCCTCCTCTTGCACCATTTGATTCGGGCTACCCAGACTAAGAGTTTTGCAAAATGAAGCCTTTACGAGCTCACGCACATCAGCTCTTGGAGTAGGAGTGGAGAACGGCAAATGCTGACCACTTCATGAGTTCTTGTATTAGACAGAACACCACAGGTAAACGTCGATACGTTTACAAAAAGTATATCCACGCAATCTAGACCGTTATTCGTGTCACACTCAAATGTAACACGTAGCTTGGGTTGAGTGTCCAGAACGGGCTGAAAGTAGTCCATATCAATAATAATGAAAATATGATCAGCCAATCGCTAATACGACATGCATTTTGAAAGACGTAAACACTAATAACAAGGTTTCTGAAAACTCCTCAACAGACTCTGAACGGTTTCACCCTTCATGGTGTTCGTCAGGTAGGTGAAGTCTTCGAGTTTCTGTCATCCTTTTGTTCTAATTGAACCCAAAAGTCACGAAATTGGACGTCCACACTCATCTGTTCACCAATTTGGTTTTTATGGAAGACTTAACTGGAACCCAGCTGAATCTTTCGTTTGTGATGCCCTTCTTCAACTGAAGGTGCTGCATCAGGCCGCCTCATGTTTCAGTGCATTTGATGCTCAAGATATTGCAGTATTTTGTTTTCTCAGAGACTGCGCCACAAGAAGTATGAAACCAGTCGTGGGTCGTCAAAAGGCTTTCAGCAAACTTGTGAGTAGTGTGTTATGTCTATACAATTTCTTGCCGAAGACAGAGCGCTGCAGGCACTCGTCGATGCGTCCACAAACAACTATGTGGCGCTGTTCTCAAGCTATGGGAATAGACGACTTCATGGTCACCTATTTGCAGAAGCATTAGTCTATATTAAATGCTGGGCCCTTGATTTACGGATATCAGAATCCCCCTTTTTCAAGGAATAGGTTGCCTCGTTCTTCAATGACCATGAAGCAGCTGATGGCTGGGTAAATAATGGCCCAGGTACAGAAACGTATGGCTTGTTCATCGACTTACAGAAATAACATCCTCACAAGGTTTTCTTCAACTTCTTTCATCGGCTAGGGATTGTCGTTGCGGCCAACTTGTTACGCGTACGACCATCATCTCGGAGGTAGTGAATTGTGTAGCTTGTGGGGTGTAAACTCCAGCGTGATACTTCTTATGACACTGGCTACCATCTTAACTTAGATTAAATCGTTTAGTAGCACGCCCGAATCACGTGCAAAACCAAATGAGACTTCGTTTCTTTTAAACTTTGACTCTGCTCTCTACAATGTGACTTGTTCGATATGCGATTCCTGTTTGCAGGTGGAAATCGCCACCGAACGGGAGGAGCAGGAGTTGACTGAAAATGCGACCTCGCCCCCTGTGAATGGCCCTGACCAACCGGATAATACAACACAAACAGAATCAAACCAGTCCATCAAGAAAAAGCTCCTCCCGCTTGTCGTTGGACATAACCGAGACACATCACCAATAGGTGGCTACCTAAGGCACAGTCACAATCCTCGCTTAGCTCCGACCCGACCTCTGAGTGTTGTTGAACTGGAATCGGAGATCGATGCAATACTGGATGATTTGTCAAACTATGATGCGGCCGACGCAATCAGCATTGGCGGCGGCCGGAGATCGCGAGCCAGAAGACGATCAGCCAGACCAGTGAGTCAAGCGCTGAGCATCCAGAGTGAGGAACAACTTGATCCCGGTCCGCCGAAACTCACTGGTTATATCAAAGTATGCAAACCGCGACGGTTTGGCTTGAAAATGTTCCGAAGAGTTTATATGGTTGCGGATGGACTAAAATTGTCAGTCTACAAGGTAAGTGAGTACCGAAATTCAGGCATATCAGCAAGACACGGAGTTACACTATATACGCCCACATTGATATGCTGTTCTCGGTTGAATCTAACTTGATTAGCTGCGGATAAATACACAGCAGAGTTGGACAAGAAATCACATCCTAGGTACGGATTGAGTGTTACAGAACCAGAAGTTAGGTTGAAGCAGCGCGAGCTATCTTCATAGTTGGCTATTTTGCAGTCCTTGAAAGTGGTTGACAGATTTGTACAGTCCACGCTCACATCAGTTGTTTACACATTCCACCTGCTTTCCATGTGCAATTCGGTACCGAAGGGCGGTGCCCTGAACTCGAGTTTCGCTCTTATTAGAACTCATCAGGAGTTCATATCCTTGACCGTGCCGGGTTCTGAACACCGGACAAGTGACATGCAAGGAGCATATGTTACCGCCACTCCATTGGTGCACACTGGATGCACCTGGGTCTGAATTTTTAACAATTCGTGTTGTTATTGATGCCATTTTCCAATACAATCTCGCGATAGGTGATACGACTTTTTAGTTCCTAGTCGATATTAGTTACTTAACACCAGAAGTACTTAATCGCGATAACTTAGACGAGGATTTCTGAAAATCGTTATGCGTTGCACAACAGTGTATCAGACACGGATGGACTAGCATTCTGGCTGATCTGACAAAGTTACTTCAAACAAAGTGAACACCTACTCCGCTCAAAACACCCGCTGAGAACGGTACGTCGCTGATTCACCGTGATTCAACTTATCACAGACCAATTTGTCATCAGACTATTTTATCACAGAAATAGTCTGTAGATAAGCGAGGCGAGTCTCGGTAGAATGTAACATTGTTGATACTCTGCCCGTAGAAGGGCAGTCCGATGTGTTAGGCTGAACGTCAGTGATTGGACTTGTCGCCCTTTGGGTACATATTGCCGGTCTGAGGTCGCATGAAAGCCGGGATGACATAACGAAGGAAGAAGCCAAGAGTGAAGCCCTAGAGATGGTTAGCAGCAGCCGTGACTTTAAGTTGGTAATATCTGTCCTGCTAGGTGACCCATTTTCCGGCAGCAATCACCATTATTGATTTGGTTGGTGTCTTACTTCCTCGACAACATGAGTGTAGAGCACAGGATACGCCACACTATGATGATGGTTGATCGATTTCTATCTGTCATTTTTGTTCAAACAAGGAAATAATGCCTCTCCAATAAGTCGAACAACCACGGGAATAATACCAACAAACCATTAACCATGTCATTCGTATTTCATTTTTCGTGCATTTCCACAGAATGAAGATGAGTTTGTGAGCAAGACTGAGGCCTTCGAAGTAATCTACCTGCCTGGGTGTGAAGTTCAACCAGACCTGTGCCTAACATCTGAACGTTATAGCATTCGGTTGTTTGTACCGATTTCAAGAACAAATCTCCCGCTTTCGGCTGCATTCAACCTGGGCGCGATAGATGATGTACGGGGACAAGACGAAGAAATAGGCATTAGCGGTCGTCTGAAACGTCGTGCATCCCTTTTGTCCTTGACATCGTTGTCCCAATTCGGCGCTTCGTTTGGACTACAACCTGCTGGTGGTTCTTCTGGTGGTGCATTGTGTGGAGCCTCGGCCGCGGTCCTTGGTCTCGTCAACGAAATAGTGCTTCGGTTGCCAGACACGAGTACTTATGCTGATTGGTTGGCATTTTTGCGCCTAGCGACTGCCGTTCCCTTGATGGGTTTGCCTACCGGGGAGGATCGAACTGACTGGGATGGAACGGTCCCTCATGCGGAATGGGCATCCATTCTAACCCGTGAGATTTACGACGCCGAAAGAAAAGCGATTTCCGGTCTCGTCCAACTCATATCTCCCAGTGTGACTTCCGGCGACAAGGTGGATGGAGGCCTGCAAATAACTGCCCTACATACCCGCTTGGAGAAACGGTTTGCAGACTTCTTACCAATGAGACTCACCCCGGCAAAGAATACACTGCGTCAAAAGTCCAGGGATCTCATAGATTCGGGTGGAACCCTTGGTCGAACAGCTACCCTGCCGCCGGATGGACGAACACCAGCACATGCTTCAGGTGGTGTCCTATCCGGGCCGGTAAGTATTCACGCTCAAACACCATAATATTGGCCGCATCCAGCAGTGTTCAGTAGATAATACATCACCATCCGTATGAATGAGCTTTTTTGCCACTCCACGTCCCGGCACGATTGGTCTCCGAGAAATTCAGCCTAAAAACGGACAGGATCGTACAAAACACTTGTACAAAAATTGAACTGTCTGCATATAAGTTTAGCTTTCAGCTAATTCCTTCGATTAGAAAGTGTAATTTTTTATGCTTAAGTTTTGGTTAACGCAGCGGCTTTTTACAAGATTGATTAGGTTAATGTCGAGGTCGATAGTCTGCCTGTTGCTACAAGTAACCGCTTTCTGTTCTGCAGGAGACAAATGGCAGGCCAAAAATTCTCAAGTACACAATCAATATAATTTCATGAACACGGCAACGAAGGAGCTCACATTTGTTTGAAGCAAGTAAGCACATGCTGCTATCGATCCGTCGGATCAGCCAGCTCAGCTGCGCGGTATCTGATTGGCCTGCTTGCCAGCCTAATGAGTGAGGATGTCTACCAGCTGGTTTAACAACTGATTCTAAGCGTCATCGTTGTATTGGCTGCTTGTTAGGTTTTGGATACTTCGGAAAAAACAAAAGAGAGAACAATCCCCATCCCAAACAACACCATTCTGATATTGTGAATGCTTGATTTCTTATGGGATGCTAAGTTAACAGAAATATTTTCTTCAGCAAAATATACTCGAATTTGGTTTTGAAGAGTGACTTAACTGGAACCAGGCTGAATCTCTTGTTAAGAATGTTTTTGAGCATATTATTACGAATATTAAATCTGCACAATGTGCCGCGTGTATCGTTCCAACTGAAATATGAGGCGGCCTGGTGCAGCACATCATTAACGAGATTCAGGGGGGTTCCAGATGAGTCCCCGTCGAATTCCTATTTGTTAGCAAATGAGTGCATTTCTCTAATTTCGTGCAATTCGGGTTCAAATAAAAAAATACTGTGGACGGAAACTCGGGGATTGCGCCTACCTGATGAGCCCGAAGTGAAGGGGTGGAACCAGTCATGGGTTATCGGAGAGTTTTCAGCAACCTGGTGAGTAGTGTATTACACTTGCACGATTTGTTCAGTTGTTCGTCAATACGACAAACAATTACGACCTTCTTGGTAGTGTGAGGGGGGTCAGGAATTCTCAGCTGGTATTTCGTCCTGCCAGTAAAATTGAAAAGCCCAGAAGCGATGTACAAATGTCTTATTCTTACGGGGAATCATGAGCAGTGCGTATCTCACGAAACTCCAGGGAAATCTGGAACCAAGATCACTCGACAGGCAGTGGAAGCCCAAATTTTGGCCACCAGTGGATTATCTACATCACTGCCTGCTTCACAAACCGATTATCACACATTGCGGTCACACAAAATCCAATAGCAATCCAATGCAATGCAATAGCAGTTAGGTGATCAGGACAAAATTCATCTTTAGATAATACGAGTTCTTTGGAATGTTCATTTATCTGGTTTCCAAAAGCAATCAGATTGCTTGGCAGAATATTATGGGCAATAATCGTTGATATTCTCAAGGAACTGGATGAGTAATCTGCCGTTGGCCAGGACTGTTTGTTTACCATCGTGAATTTCCGACAGACAGACTCTTCTGATTGCACCGAAACTGAGTATACAAAGTGAGTATCAAAAACATGAAAGCACGTCCTGTTTGTGGTAGAACTCATCTCTCTGAGATTGACACAACAATTCACTGTTTTCTTCTATTTTCCCCGTAGCATCGAGCTAACCTGATACGGCGTATTTGCGTGGCTTACTCTCGTATCCATGACCTGAACAGTATTCAAGCGAAGATGAAGTATATCAGTGCGTGGGAACAAATGCCAAACCATGGAATAGCATTCTTCCCTGCTCGTCTTGAGGTCACCCTACCCCTGTCCAGCCTGGTTGGCGGTGATGAACAAAATGAACGTCCTCTGACACGTGGTGTGCCATGGCTTCATCAACCTCTGGGTGGAGGAAACATCACCGTTTCTTCTAGCCGACGCGTAGAAGCAGTTGGAATCGGGCCCACACGGGTATTTCGATGTGACATACAGACGGGTGATATCATGTCTAGCTGGCGTCTGTCGGCTATTCAGGGATGGCATATAAACTGGGAACTTGGAGAACTAGTTTTGCTACTGGCGCCACCTCAACTACCCTTATCAAAACGAGGGGTTGGGGAAAGGGAGCGAAGTGTCAGCCCGCCACCTGCACCCACAACCTGTCCGGGAAGAGTGATTATCCGTCCGGTGGATGTGTCCGTCCGAACTGTCGCCGAATTTCTGGGTGGTTACACATTTTTGAACCTTCGTTCCCCTGAAAAGAATCAAGGTTTGGACGAGAGCGTCTTCTATAAATTAACCACAGGTTCAACTCTTCCAGTGTCCCAAGGAACTCTGTCGTAAGAGACCTAGTCGCATGAATAGCTTTCAAATCCGGTGCAGATGGAGCTAGAATACCAATATACCGATCCCGCCATTATAGCAGCTTAGCTTGCTGAGATCCTGCATTCTTGTTTCTTCCCCCATTATTTTTTGCATCAGTATCAAGAACTACCTTTCTGATTTCTATCCTGAACCGCTTCTTCCTCTCACCTTTTATTCGATCATTTAACTATACTGCGCTTCTTGTCTATTCTCTTTGAGTTTTGCACGGATTTCAATTTGTCTTTCATTCATTCATACACACACATGTGCTAGGCCTGTTTATTGATAGTCTTGTTCTCCTCGTCCCCGATGTGGAATTTCGCTCTATCTTTCTCTCTGTCTTAACTTGAAGCCTGCGGTCTTCAGTCAAATCATCCTTCTAATGTAATCGACTCATGATTCTCCTCCCTATTCGCAACCGTTCTTGTTAAATTTTTGGTCTTATGTGCGTCCACAAGGCGATCATATGAATAGCCTTCACTCGTTTTTGCTACCATGATGACACTACAAACACTGAGATGCATACGTAGAATGGAAGAGCTAGATCAATTTGTCTAATCTAATGTCTTGTTTTGCTTTTTTCCTGGTTTTTCTTTCTGCTTTCTTTTGTAAATTAATGCGTCACCGAACATTTTGTTTGTATTTATTTCGTGTGTGTTTGTGTGTGAACAGTTGTGAAAAGATTCAATAAGCAGCTGTTCCCGGTTTGTCGGTTTTGAGAGTTCTGCTTTGGTTGTTCAAGTGTATGTTTGCCCAGTAAGGAGTTGACGTATTGATCGGTGGCTACGAGGTAACCGGTTGGTCATTATCCTTCTGAATGCAATAATCGACAGCTGGTCAAAAGGACATGATCTAGAAAGCAGCCGCCAATAGATGCGAACTCTTTAGATGTATTGCCATGGAGCACTAAATAAGATTTGCGGAAATTCGCGAGGTGAAGTTTCAAAAAGGGCGACACTAATCGTAGTTTTCGGAAGAGGTTTCGTCTACCTTTCACGCAGTGTTGGAATCGGAGGAACCTAGTTTTTCCAAACATCCATTGCACACAGAGTCAGGTTGGTAGGACGTAGCAGTGCACGGAGGTCACGTAATAGGTAGGTAGGTAATTCGAAATCAAAATCCTGAAGTTATGGCTAATCACACTTTGGAGTGAAATCACATTTCACACCTGACAAAACCGCCTTCTGACTATGTCGAGTTACTTCATATCAGCCTATTTCTCTGATGCATGCATGATGTAGCTTTTCGCATGGAAGATGGAATGTTTACGGAGGAGGAGTATCCCCGCTTTCCACGTGAATTCGATCCACAGTTTTCTCTTCAGATCACTTGGCTTAGATACACATCATTTGATACACTAATGATGAAACGTCGTAAGTCGTAGGTTCATGACTAAGCAGCGCGGCTTGAATGCTCTCCACCTCCGTCATTACTTGAGGTGAAGGCCACCTGATCGAGATAACTGCATGCAACATCGAGGTGATGGCTCGCATAAAGCTGATTCTGTTCAGTGAGTCACACCCACACGAGGGATCAAAATAAACGATATAACAAACGAGTTAGCAACATCACGAAATATGCGCAAGAGCACACCTAAGTAATCACACGGGGGTCAGCTTGATCCCAGTTTTAACGAGACTACTGGCGTCATTCATCCTCTGTCGCCTAGTGGTTGCTCACGAAACACTGATTCGAGAGCCGCATGCGGGATTTCGGTCTGGTAGGGGTTGTGTTGACCAAATTTTCAAAATCCGTCAGGTATTAGAACAACAGCAAACGACCAAAAAAAATAGAAATTATGGATTTCTAAGGCTCCTTTTACTCAGTCGACCAGTCTTCTATCCTAAACACGCTTGCCAAGCAAGGAAAGCCGGCGTGTGGGAGTATACGAGGAGCTGTCCAAGAGCTTCCGTACTCAAAGCGATGTCCGATTAGGACACCCGTGATTCCCATTCCCATGTAACTTCGTGAACGCCGGAAGGTCTTCAAAAAACCTGATGTGCAAATAGCCGTTGACGAAACCCTGGTGGATTTTAAATATGCAGAAGACACTGGTCTCATCTTCGAAGAGGAGATAGCTGAGGTGTTTATAGATAAAATGACTCAAGTCATCTCGTCCTTTTTGGCTTTCATTTTGCACCAAGTAAGTGTAAGTTCATGCTCGTGGACACGCAGTCACAATTACAACCCGGGTAGAGGCGCTGGACGTTGTGCAGCGCTCTCCATATCTTCGACGTTGTTTTAGTTCCGACTGTAGTATTACAGATGAGGTCAATGCATGAACCTCAATGGCACCTATAGTGTCAAAGCGGTACATCCATGAATCTCAAGGGAATTATATATCTGGCTATAGTACAGGCTGTTTTGTTGTATGGCTGAAGACGTGGCCGCGGAAAACAGCGATTAGAGAGGGGTTACGTTAAGTCTGGATGCTGTGGGTGAGAATCGCCTTCCAGGATGAAGTCTCCATGATCTGCGCTGTGCATGGTTGGAGCCGCTAAAAGTAATGACTAGTAACCAATCTCGACGGCGTTCCTCTCGTCGGATTCTATCAAAATTACCCGAATGAGTGTCTGGAATGATTGTAGTAAGCCAGCAACGAGTCCCTTCCCCATCCACTTTCATTCTTTTCTTCACAATGAGGCTTTCGTGGTTGTACGACAGCGAAGCATCTCTACTAAACACTGGTGGTATGCTGTCGACGACGATGTTCACGATGATGACCTAAGTGTGGGCGCAGTCAAACATGTCTACGTGGGTAAGATTAACAGGCACCTACCGCTGTCACATTTCCTGTCGTCAGAGGGCTGATTGCATAGTTATTTCTTCTGATATGTAACTCATCCTGCCACCAAATCGTCACTGTCCTATGTTCATCTCTAGAATCATCTATATTCCACCACACAAGCCCGCTGGTATAAGTGAGATTTATCTCCATGTTAACTTTGCAGTGGGGATGCAACTTGCTCGTTTTCACGCCACCATATCTGACTCCCATCATATGGCCCAGCATTACCCGGTACTGGTGAAAGGAAGAAGGCCTTGGCTGCTGAGATATTTATTAGAAAATGCCAACCGACCAGACTATTGGACAGGGAAGCAAAACCCTCATTTGCATCTTATTTACAAAAACTGGACATCCATCTTATCCTGAACGCGTCTTCTTGAACTTTCCTCGACATTCATTGACTCCAATCACTCATTGCTCATATCCAAGCAAATGCTACAAAGCGACCTTACAAATTCCGCAACAGATTCCCCTTTTCAAGAGACGCAGGGCGAATTTGCAAGAACAAAACATACTACTGGCATGCCTCCCCATCAGTAGTATCACCGTTCCACTAGTAGTCTGCATAATAACAATCTTACGTTTTCATGCACGATAGTACAGTCTAGAAGAACGGTCGGGTAGAAAAACCAAGTAAAGAGAAGTGTACCAGTATATGGAAGTTTATGTTACTCTGAAACCCCAAAAAACCTACCAGAGCTGATGAAGTTTATGAAGGACAAAAGTTGAGCGCACAAGAATGCTTGCCATTCAGGTACAAAATTAGAGATGGTAAAGGAAGTTGTGGAACAAGACTTGTCGTCTTTTGAATCCAGCACTGAATGGCAACCATCTACTTGGAGATATTGTGAAACAGACCTAGAGTGGCGCATGCGGGAACCTGCCCACTTGGCCTAGTGAAAAACATATCACTAACATAATGGTATGTGGTCATTCAAAACAAGCGATGAGACTAGCCTAAGGTTTTCCACATGATGTGCCACATCACACCGCTTGTATCTGTGGAAAGTCACCTTTCGACTTGAAAACAGCTTCACAAGCATGTGGATTTGACAGGCGGTCAGATTTTCCGGGTCAGACAGCAAGCCACCAAAGTGACAGGGTATTTCATCTTGGTAGTCTAGACATATGAAAGCACCGGTTGATTGTGGAAGCTGGGTTTGAGTCAGCAAACACGCGGTAAGCCCACAGTAAAGACTTGTCTGGCTTGCCTAAACAGAAAGATAAGTGCAAAGCTGTGATTTATAAAAGACTCTTGGTGCCAATAAGGGCCGATCCCAGTGATGAGGCCACCATCCGACATACCGTGTATACTGCATAAGCAATTACACCGGTTCTTCTAGTCCATGGCTCGAACTAACCTTCTTGAAGACGAAATCAACTAACGAGTGGGTGACCTGTGCAAGTTTTTCCAAACAAAATCGTCAATAGATCATCTATAACCACCTTCATGTACCATACTACCCGGGGGCTGAGATACTGCCCGGTTGCCTAGGCCTAAGCACTGGTGGCTGAGGTGCCCAGGTTGGGTTCGAACCGCGAACCTTCCAGCCAGCGAGTTTGCATCTTAACCACTGAGATTTTCGTGCTTTTTCAGCGTGTCCGGTACACAGGCACACATGGGCATGCAAAGCTGTCACAGAACGAACAGATAATCCCGAGCTCAAATGGAGTTGGGTACATCTCTTGTCAGTGTGCTGACCAGTTTATGTAACCCAGGATGCAACCAGGTGCTAAGGGGTCTCTGTGATCGCCAATTATCGAGAGGACGTCGCGAAAGGATAAATGGAGTTTTTTGCGGTGCGATATAATATCCAAACAGAACGTAAAAAGAAGTGGACTAGTCTTTAAGTTGAGTTTGAATTCCCGCTCTATGAGTATTTTTTGCAAACAGAAAACTTGTCTACTTCCTCGCAATGACGATGAATAAGGCAAAAGAAATTATGGTGAGTTGACGAAGAATGGGAGATGGACTTCATAAAAGCTATATAGAAGAACTGTTGGTTTGATTTGGTTGTACACTTTTTGTCCCCCATTTCTTACCACTCGTGTTCTTGCTACTTTTTTCAAGTTTACTCGTTCAAGTGGGTAACGCCAAATTTGTGGCCGAAAATTCAGACACATCTATAATTCATCAAATTTTTTGATGGGTCGCATTCGCAGTTGAATTCTCACTGTGGATTCCCTAACTGTTGTTGCGTTGTCCCCTTTCAATTGTTTGCCGAACGAAACGAGAACATAGTAAAACCGTCGTCGTGTACTTTCCATGTTTGTCAGTTTCAGGAGCCTTGGAATGACTTCCAGTGTAAATGATCTTACGGCAAAAAAAATTTAGGGTTATTGGGGGAAATTATAACTGCAGCTCAGGAGAAGATGCATTAGAAATCCCATTTTTCAGTTACACCGATAATGTGCGCATCAGTTGGGTCAATAGGCAATAGAATTTGTTTTTTCCAGGCGGCGCCTTTGGTAGTACTACAACGCCTGACCCTATTACCGGATGCGGATGATTGATCTCTACCACTCTCCAGCATACGGCTCTCGGGAGCGGGATGAACAGACAGCCGTAAGGTAGGATACAGCGTGTTGTGAAATTCTGGTGAACGGGTAAAAATACGAGGGTTTAAAAGTGTTCTGACTTCCATATGAACAAAGAACGAAACGGTTTTGAGGCCAGTGCTTCCCTTTGGTGTGGACTCACCAGAATAATTACGCCAGAACAGGAAGACGACCATTCAAAAGAGAGTGGTGTGACCATGAACAAAATCCCAAAATACCTGAAACCTACTGAGACACCCAAACCTAATCAAAACGCAGTAGGAAAACCGGTAAGTATCAAGGCCAGTGAAGCAGTCAAACAGTTCAGCAACGGCTGACGATGGTGAGTGTCGATATACGCCAGCGTAACACGACGACGGTAATAAGTGTCCCGACATCTCATAGAAGCAGAGTGAATGATGAAGGACGCTTACCGATCAGCCAGTTTGTATCAATGTCAAAAGTGCTCGTTGGGGCGGGGGCTTCTTCCAACGGTAGAGCAGCGGAAGCTGTTGGATACAACAAAAACAGCATCTTTTTGGCAAAGCAGCACCCGAGGAACACTTTGAGCAATAGAGGTACCTCTGTATAATCTGAATTCTCCATGTTTCAGTAAATCGTCGGGGACTTCTTACATCTACGCCTTGAAACACGAGTGTACACAAAGCGACCAGTGCACCAATGGTTGACGGTCCCATAGGTGGCTTTTACCTCATTTTACCTGCTGAATAGAGCAAAATGAACCGCTTTGTACTCGTGTGAAGCAAGCTAAGACACCACGAGATCTGGCCAGTTTGTTAATTTCATTAAACAAAATTAGAAACCTGGCTGCGGGATCTGTTGATTTCTCGGTCACATCACTCTCATTTGTATAGTCCTGTCCTGGCTCACTTATTCTGGCGAGTCAACATAAAAGGACTGAAGCATTGGAATCGAGTGTTTCTCTTTCTGTAGCTCACCAGCAGTGCATCAGATCGCCCTTTCAATAAACTGTTTATCTTTCACCGCACAGACCAGGGTTGTACATCTTAGCATAGCATATACATAAGTTTGTTTACAATTATCCTGAGTGTTGTATGACCCATAGCTCCGAATACATCAAAAAATCATCAGTGGAAATCCTAGGTTGTCTGAGAAGGATAGTTTCCTGAATTAGAAGAAAAGCCCCCCGTCCAAACCTGTCTACGGCGTTTGTGACCAGGAAACGTGTTTTATATTCATGTTGGGTACTCCTTTTGTTTCAGTACCTTCAGATCGGAGGTTTCTGCAGTTGTAAAAGGTTTATCTTCCATCAATACTGTACAACTTTCTGGAATGACCGGTATCTTCATCTGTGTAAGATAACCGGTTGGCATCGCATACCTGGCCGGGATTGATGCTTCAGAAGTATACAACTGTAATGAGAAAGGGGTTTTAAATCATACGGATAATCAGAAGTACCTCAAAGGAAGTCGTGAGTGGATCAGCTGGCCCAACCACTTGGCTGCTCTTGAATAAGTGGGGCAAAGAGAAGCTATTCAGAGTAGTCATATTCGATATGCAAACCTTTGTTCCCCATCTTCCCGGAAGAATTTAGAATCACTGACGAGTGGGCGTGATTAGGAAACCAGGAAACTCGGTATTCCACCGGAACAATTCAGATAAAACCTTTGCGTATTTGTCCACTTGTTTGAAAGATGAGTTGCTATAACTGCCTTGTTCTTAAGTGCATTTGACCGGGGAGGGGCCAGAAGACTTTACTCTCTTTTTTATTCACTACAGATTTATTCATTGTAGAATTCTCAACAGTCTCAGGCGTAATTTTTGTCCCGTTATCTGACCTTAGTATTTTATACCTCGTAACACACATGAACGCTCACATGCCTCACATTTGGACTATCGTTTTACACATGTTACAGTTCATTTGGTTGACCCCTGTTACGGTCTCCTGTATCGATCGCTTTACTCATCATCCTTTCGCGTCATCCATCCGTGATATCACTGCTAAGACGGTTTGAAAAACCTGTGTAGCATTTTCTGGACAGCTAATAACCGTGGCTCCGAATTTGTTCCCTCACCTTTCCAAATATGAAGTAACCGCTTCATGATTACTGTGTACAACTCCGCCACTAATGACCTGTTTCACTGACAACTGAAGGCGCTGGCGCAACGTTTTCCTCTTTGGGCATTGGTCAGAGCCGTTGCCAGTTGACCTTCTTGAGTCACCTTACGAAAACTTCTAGCCTGTTCAACTGCGGGACCCCCAGATTACCGGAAGAGATTACCATAGATTCAGGTATCTCACTTGAACCCAAGCCTGCCTCCTTCACGCACATTCCGAAGCAGCTAACGCGCCAAGTAAGGTCAACTGACATACGTAAAGCGCAGTCTGGACCATATACACCTTAGCTGTGTCCCGTAGCTTCCTTCGTATTGATGATACTCACATACCTTGACAGTCGCCGCTCTATGATGGTCCCTACAAAGCCGTTGGTGTTCCTGACGAGTTAGGTTTGTACTGATAGCGACCGAAGTTCTGCTTCTCGCAGTGTTCGCTGTGCGAGAGGTTCACCTTTTGCTTCCTCACATTCAACTGCATCGACCACTTAACCTTCACTACTGCCCTTTTTGGTGAATATAGAAGTACATCTGCACTCATCGAAAATGCACTTTGTGATCCCATTTTTGGGCCACCAATTCACTCACGCATGTACTAATGGATACTGCCTAGCGTTTTCACTTTGTACCGCTGGCTTATTTGTGGTTCAGTCCTTTTGCCGGTTAATTACATTACATTTCCCTCAGAACATCGATTCAGATCCACATTTACACGAGTGCACACTTGAGCTAGGAGGCTCACGCTGTTAGCGCACTCAGCTTGTTGGACACTCAATTCCAAACCTGGTAATCGATCGATTGTAATTTAATAACACTGTATTGTGATAACTGATGTATGGACATAGTTGCTTGCCGTGAACATAATAGGGTTCCGCGGAATTAAACCATAAATTCCCGGAATACGTTGAATATTATCCATTCCCTCTTTCACTCACCTTTCGGTTCACTTTGTATACTAGTCCGAAGCATGTGCCTCATTTGTTGGATGCAATAAACGCGATCACAGACGCATGTAGTGGCACTTTCATCCGTTTTCTCCCCTACTGGTTTGTTTTCGCAACTATCAGTCGTCTGTTTGGTGTATCTGCTCTGAAAAAGTCCCATTTGGGTACATTTGGGTACATCTAGGTGCATTTGGAACGTTTTGGTGTCTCAAGTACCTGAGACACTTCAAACGTAAATCAATAGTTACTCGTACGATATAGCACCAAGTAGTCATACAAAAGTGCGCGTAGTTAAGATTTCATAAGGTCATGTATAATTTGTGAGGTTTAAGGTGAGCACGTGATGTCACCTAGGCTATTGACATGCAGGGACATAGAAGTAGCATTTCGACTGTGACATCATGTTCCAACAGGGCGGAAAAAGAGTATTGCGATGAGTGAAGAGAGAGAGAGAGTTACATACAAGGGCAAACACTACATGTACAGAAAATGGAGTACCAAGCTAATAGTATGTCACTCAGCGGTTGTTGTTGGGGGAAAAAGATGCGTCACGGTTGTCCCAACAGTATAAATTTTGTTCGTGATTGGACGTGAAAGTCGCTTTAAAAGTGGATCAACGATTTAAATACTGATCAAAACGACTAATGACCGCTGTCTTTGGACAGTTGGACTCTTGGTTGTTGGTCTGTTTGCCCAGCCTGACATTTGGGTTGCAAAGTTCCATCACCAATCGAGTTGATATCGTCAGTGCGGGGTCGAGTGCTTATTTGGTTTCTAGAGATGGATGGTTGCTGTCGAGGTGGCTTTCGTGTAGTTTGGTTGGTCATCTTGGAATCTAAGTTGCGTTTTAATCTCATTCCTTGTATCTAGATGGTTCGTTGGGTGCCTTTAATCCGACAGTTCTGTTCCTTTGTCGTGATTGCGTCGCTTCATTGTTGCTTTGTGCTCTGATTCCGCTCAAGTTCAGTGGTTGATTAGATAACCTATTTTTAGTGGCCCCCTTTTTTGATTAAACTGGTCCGTTATTTGTCGTTAGGTTGTTTGATTTCCCATGTGTTTCCGAGTCCCGTATCTGTATAACTCTTTTGTCCGTAGTGATCGATAGAATGGGCAGATATCGATTTGTTCGTTGATAGATTTTTGTGTGGAATATCACGCCGCGTCAAACTTCTGCTCCCGTTTTGTTCTTGTGTGAACTGATATTACTATCTGTCTTGATAAATTGAGTGATAAGTGACTTTGGATCACATCTTCTGCTGGTAAGCTTGTGTTTCTGTATTCTGCAAGCAAGTTCACTTCTCCACCCAGTCGAAAAGTGCTAAATACTCGTCGAAGTTCGCACTGTTTCCCTCTACTTCTTCCCTGGTTAATTACTTTGATTTTTGGTCCTACACAATGTCCCCACCCAATTCCAATCTCCCCTTGGTAGTCAGTCTTGCGACCGATTACGGTGTATCCGTTTATAGTCGACTTTCCTATCAACGGTAAACACATCAATCATTTGGAATTCGAATTTCATATTCTAGGACAAAGAGAAGGTCAGAAATATGAAGAGGAAGGAAGTGATTCTTTTGACATTTTTGCACAAATACTCTACTCATTAATAATTAATCTTTCTTGTTTCACGCAGCATCATACGGATCTTTTGTTTTCATCCAAACTGCTTCAACTCCCTTCCAAAAACATCGCATACATGTCTGTTTATCAGGCAATTGAGTGACGTTCAATCTTTCCTGTCGTGAAGCTCAACATCACTCCGTTGTTGTCCTTAAACAACATTCTCTCAGAAAGTGAAGACATCGTCTTTCCCACCTTTCCTAAAAATGAAAAACTAGTATGGTAGATACATGTGTCCTGACGGCTAGTGTCCTTCGCCTAACTTGTTACGTGGCAATCATCGACCACTAGACATCTTTTATCCTTTTGGTCGACATCTGTCGCTAGGCAAATTCTAGCCGTCATTCATTTGCCTGCCACCCTGTGTGTGTGTTCTGCCAGTTGTACAAAGTAAACCAGACAGGCTTGTCCAAACTATCCTGAAGACGTCCTAATCGGTTCCAGACTGTTAAACCGCGTAGGCAAGTCGGTTTTTTTTAGCTCACTTTTCTCTTAATCCCGTCGGTGTGGTGGGACGCTTGGCAATTGGGGAAGAATGTCCGAACGTACTGAAAATCTAGCCATGGGCTTGGGTTTTCTAAATGATGTCAGATAGTTTGGACCGAACTCGAGGACCCTTACAAAACCCGAGCAGTTGGCGCAGTTTTCCAGCTATCGGGTCCGCGCGGTGCGTTTCCTCAGGGCAATGCACACATAAACACCTGCTTTTGGTGCATGTACGAAGAGGACGGAGTAGCTCTCCTCGTATGCGGATGAGTCAGGCAAGAACAAGTCAGGGGAAAGATTATTACACGGAAATTTTTGCCAGCTCAGGACCGTCCTCTCTAGTTCAGGCCCTTGGCTATACTTGCGTGAAACGACTGATGGGGGGATAAGGAGGAGATGTTTGACACATGACGAAATGAGCGTCAGACGCTCATCGAAAAGGACAGAAAAGTACTTGACACT